TATTAATGGTATGGTGTTTGTTGGTGTTGTTTTTTGTGTGTTGGTTTCCATTTCACTTGGTCAATGCGCTCTCAAGTCTATTCAAGGCTGCAAACGTAACGAGCAAAGAAGACTGTTCTGACTACACAATCACAGCAAGTGTTCTTCACAATCTACTGATAGCTAACAGTGTATTCGGGCCTCTTTTCTATTTCATATTCATCCAGGACTTCAAGAACTCTTTWAAGAAACTATGCCTTTGCAAAAGTAGGTCAGTCGCTCARGAAAAYGTAAAGAGGAATGTTGGTTTTAAAAACAGCGCTTTTCATGAAAGTTCTGGAGAAGCTGTCCAAATGGAAAAAGAGATAGATAAGAAATGAAAAGAAAAATTCGCATCATYTATTAGAACACGAATAATGAGCATGCAAAAAATATAAACGAAATAATGTTTTAAATAGATAAAAAGCTAAAGACAGCAAGTACTACTACGAGTATACAATAGAACACATATCCAGCAACGGAGAGAAAATATCGATTTTGCTGTTGATATTTAAAAGAAAAASAAAGTGAAACTTTAGAAGAAGAGAAAGCCGTAWGAAGGAGAAAAAAAGAGATAAAAAAGCCGCGGAAMGCAMGTGAGAAAACTTCAAGACAGGTGATTKGAAAGAGATGAATGCTTTTGTAATTAATACCCTAAGAGTACAACGAGGAATTCTATTTCATCTCCCCGCGCTTGTTAACGCGAAGAAGTTAGAATACCGAGCAGTCCACTCTATAATAAACAACTTTAAGTTTGGATCTCAAAAACTACCAACACTACCAAATCAGTACCTYTTCCTGTGAGTCTAAGAGACTCTTTGGAGTCACTCTGCAGTATTGCTCTATTCTACCGTAACTCAGTAACGATCTAAACGATATTCCATTTATATTAATTGGTAACGGTCAAGCGATTACTGTAGTTTTTTTGTAAATKATATTTTAGATATCTTATGAATTTATCTAGGGCATTTTATATAAATTGTACAGATTCAATTGTATATTTATGAAGTAATATTTCTGGAATAGGAAGCAATGCAGGTAGTTTCCCAAGCAATCAATATTGCAATCAGGTGTAAAAAGGTCTTACAAACACCTTAACTGATGAATAAAAAATATTACTAAATCCTTGAATTTAATCGAAAATGAGCTTTTAACGTTTGTTTGATGCGATAAAAAGAAAAGGTGACAATAACTCGAATTTTGTAACAATAAATTCTCATTAGATCGAGATTCGCAAATCTTGTCGACGATTTTTTTTGCGAAAATATTCTGAAGTTGGAAAAAATTAAAAAGACGAAAACGAAAAAAAATGGGAATTATAAATTATCATACTGTCAAATATTATGATCGTGCATTTTATATAGTAAAAAGCGAATAAATTCCTTTCAAATATTTTGCTTTATTTTAGTAATAACGGTTCTTTATTTACCAATTTCATGATAGCCACAACCATGGCTATCCGCTTACACTTGCGATTTTTGCAAGCGATTCTCGCAGTGATCGTCGCACGAGTTTTCGAAGATGCTTGGAAATTGACTGCAACTTCGCGGCTATTTTTCCATCACCGCAACACTTGTAGGGCTGTTTATTAAGGCTGGTTTACACGTCACGATTGTCTCGTGCGATTTGTAGTATACGACTTGAATCGCGCAGTGTAAATGCCCCTACGACTTGTCTAGCTACAACAGTCGTACGCAGCCTACGACTTGTAGTAGGATTTTGAACCACGGCTTAAAATCCTACGACTTGTAGTAGGAAAATCGTATACTACAAGTCGCGCGCGACAAATCGTACCATGTAAATCAGCCTTTACGTAGGATTTTAGCCCCTGTTTACATGAGTTCAGGGTGGCTCTACACCAAACTCTTTTGTTTTCAATCCTCCAGGGAAAAGAAAACAAAGAAGTTAGCCCCACCACGTTGACTGCAACTTCGCGGCTATTTTTCCATCACTGCAACACTTGCAGGGCTGTTTATTACGTACGATTTTAGCCCCTGTTTACATGAAATCAGGGTGGTCCTAGGTGTACAGCCAAACTCTTTTGTTTTCAATCCTCCAGGGAAAAGAAAACAAAGTAGTTAGCCCCACCACGTAGGGGCACCCTATGTAAACAGGGCCTTTTAGTTGCGCGATAGCAAGGTGGTGATTATCGCCTGCAAAAATCGCAAGTGTAAACGGGCCTTAAGAATAATTGCTATATGTGCTAAGAGCTCTTAGGACCCAATAAACTGATTGCTGATTTCTTTGTTGACAAGATTATTAATATACAAAATAATCTTGGGGATATCCATTATACTCTGCCTAGTGAATGTGTCATTCTAAATGATTATCTCACATCTTTTTCTGAAATTCATCATGAGGATCTCTCTAAACATATTTTTCCTTTGGTGTCAAAATCTTGCGAGCTTGATCCTGTTCCTGGCAAATTTCTAAAATTGGTTGCAAACCATTTGTCTCCTGTCATTTCTAAGATTGTCAATCTTTCTTTAGTGAAAKCGTCAATGCCTTCAATGCTAAAACTTTCTGTGATTAAGCCCCTCCTTAAAAAGCCGAATTTAACAACTGAAGAATTTTCGTAGTTTTCGACCAATCTCTAATTTAAATTTCTTGTCRAAGACTATTGAAAAAGTGGTTGCGCAACAGCTGATTTAACATCTTGAGAAAAATAATCTTCATGTGCCATTGCAATCTGCATATAA